AGCCCAGGGTGGGCTGGGAAGGTGGCTCCATGGTAGAGCGCTTGCCTTGCATGCTCGAAAAAAAAAGCCGGAAGTGGCGCTGTGGCTCAAGTTGTAGAGCGCTAGCCTTGAGCTGAAGAGCTGAGGGACAGCGCCCAGGCCCAGAGTTCAGGCCCCACGACCGGACCAAAAAAAAAAGAAGCCCAGGGTATCTATTTTGTATTTCCCCAGTGAAAGATTACATGAAAGAGTATTAGAGTTTGCCAGAGAACCACGCAGACATCCAGGTACAGAGAACAAAGCAAGGTTTATTGCTGGGAAAGGAGGCCAGCAAGATTCCTTCTCACAAGGGAGAAGTGAGAAGAAGCACCAGCTAGTGTCTGAGGTGACCTAGATAACCTAGAAGGTTTAAGAGGGGCTAGAAGGGGCTAGGAGGCAGAGACCCCGGTGTGGACCTGTGGGCCAGGGGCTTCATCATGGCTGGTTAGGATTGATGGCTGCTGCCCAAATAGTAGATAAGGGGTCCTGCAACTGCCCAGATCTGAAGGTCACTCTAAGGGGCTCTTGTTGCCTTCTATGGTGGTAGCTGCCCCCAGAGAAGTGCCATCTCAAGGTAAAGGGGTCGGAAGTTGATTATTTACTGTCTTTACTACATAGGCCTAGTGTTGCCTAGGAAGGGAGCATGCTAAGCTGTGGAGAAGGGAAGAAGTGGACTTAACTCTGGCAAGGAAGCTCATTTCCCTAACACCCAGCAAAGGTAGTTTTTTAGTTTAATTTCATGTGTGTTAAATTTCATGGGGTGGCTTCGTATGGAGGAGTTGCATATTGATTACTTTGCCTTGTTGAGTTCAGGTGATCTTCCCACACTTAGCCCCTCAAATAGTTTAGACTAAAGGCATAAACCACTGTTGATGTTTTTTAATTGAAATAATCTGGCAAATTAGAGAAAGTACCTTATTTTATCACCTCCAAGAAGCATGTTTGTTTAAATCCTATTTGAATATTTAAATGTGTATACAGGAATGTGTACGGCTTTTTAAATTATACTAAATTATTCACACCACTCTACAACTGCATTTTGTTCATTTGAAAACTATATTTCAAGGAGGCTGAGATCTGAGAAAGGCAGTTGAAAATCCACCTGGGCAGACAAATCCATGAGATTCATATCTCCAATTAACCAGCAAAGAGTGACAAAGCTAAGCAACAAAGCCAGGTTCTGGTGGTTCACCCTTATAAAAATTCTAGCTACAAAGATGGTTGAGATTGGAGGGTGGTGGTTGGAAGCCAAACTTAGCAAAAATGTTCCTGAGACTCTTATCTCTAACAAGCAAAAAGCCTGAAGTGAAGGTGTGGTTCAAGTTTTCAAGCACTAGCCTTGAGTTAAAAAAAAATAGCCCAATGAGTGCCAGAGGCCCTGAGTTCAAGTCTCATTATCTACAAAACAAATAAGAAAATGAAGGAACTATATTTCACAAGCAAGATTATGTGTTTATCCTGCCAAATTAAGATGAATTGGCTTTAAGTAAATTACTTTATTAACTCTCTTGGTATTCTTCTTAAAAGTTTTATTCTTTTCAAAATCATGTAGGTTTATTTTAGTGTGACATATAAAGGATTGTTTATAAAAATAATATGGTTGACCAAGACAAACAACTTACCTGCTTGATTTTCCATTAAGTGATTTTTGAACACGTGTTAAGATAATCCACATACACACATATACACAACAAAGAGAAATTTTATACTTTCTTATTGCAACAGAAACCATAAATTCCAGCACACAGTTAAAAATTAGAAGAACCTGGGTCCTAAATTCTTAATCTTCTTAGTCTGTTTGATCAAATGAAATGTATAACATGAAGCCTTTTATAATCCTCTGTGACTGCTAGCTATGATATTACTCTAAGTTATTACTTTTTCTGGGGGAGTGGGGGTCCGGTCATGGGCCTGAACTCTGGGCCTGGGCACTGTCCCTCAGCTCTTCACCTCAAGGCTAGCACTCTACCACTTGAGCCACAGCACCACTTCCGACTTTTTTTCCTGCTTATGTGGTGCTGAGGAATGGAACCCAGGGCCTCATGCATGCAAGGCAAGCGCTCTACCACTGAGCCACCTTCCCAGCCCTGGGAAAGTTTTTGATTGGAGAAATAAATGCTGGATCACAGAGCACTTGATGACTAGGTGGCCTCATTTCTGAAGCTCAAATTCCCGAAGACATTCCTTTCTTTATTTTTTTTTAAAAGATCAAGCTGAGCACTGATGGCTTTTATTGGTAATCATAGCTATACAGGACTGAGATCTGAGAATCAAGGTCCAAAGCCAGCCTGATGCTAAGAAGGTAGTGAGACTCCATCTCCAATTAACCACTAAAAAGACAGAAGTGAAGCTGTGGCTCAAGTGGTAGTGCTAGCCTTTAGCAAAAATAGCTTTTGGACAATGCCCAGGTACTAAGTTCAAGCCCTAGGAAGCACACGCGCGCACGCACACACGCGCACACACACACACACAGAAATAAAAGAAAAAAGAAAAAAATACAGAGTGGAGAGAACTTCATTTCATAAAAAAATGAATTTAGGGGGAAAAAAAATCCCCAACCCCAAATTAGACAACCAGTTTTTACTGGGGCTGTGTGTGTGTGTGTGTGTGTGTGATTGAGATTGAGGGGTATAAGGTGATGATGACAGCAAAGGAGAAAGCCAGTGAGAGGTAAAGTAGAGACTATGTATGGGTTGGGGTGCATCACAGCAAATGCTCTTATGAGAATGCTCCTCTGATGGTTTGTTTGTGCCAGTACTAGGGCTTGAACCCTGGACCTCAAACTCAGATTTAGCATGTTTGCTCAAGGCTGGTTGGTGCTCTACCATTTTGCTGATTAGCAATACATTTCCTAGACTTTCCTGTCTGGGCTAGGTTTGAACTGCAATCCTCAGATCTTAGCCACCTAAATATCTAGGATTACAGGTGTGAGGCAGTGGCGCCTGGCGATGATGGTAAGATTTTTGTGTGTCAAATTGGTCTACTCTGTTTTGGCCAAACACTAATTAATGTAGATGTTACTATGAAGGTGTTGTATAGATGTGATTAACATCCACAATCAGTTGGGGATAATAAATCACATAGTATGGCTGTACCCCACACTATACTAAAGCCTTAGGAGTAAGAACTGAAATTTCCTGGAGGAAGACTTCTACCTGACCTGCTAGCTTGCTGACTAGCCCTTCTAATTCCTGAACCAGTTCCCTAAAACACACATTTTGTTACTATTATAAGAGGCAACTTAAAAGCTGCTTTTTCTGGGCCCTGTGAATTAACAAAACAATAAAAAAAACCATATATCTACCTACCACTTGGATTTCCTTATTTTGAGGAATATATACAGATTCATAGGTTTTAGATTTTATCTACACATGTGCTTGTCTAGCTTGCAGGTATGATATATATAATGTGATAAAATATTTTTTCCCTGGTAATAACATTTTCTGTAGAACAATTTAATTCACAGAGTTTGGCAATAGCTCCTCTATCTTCATCATATACCATTTTATTTGTATTGACTATCCCATGTGACTACTGGCTTGTTTTTCCCTTCTGGTGTTATTTTTAGGCTGTTTGGCTTAATGACTTTTGACATGTCCTTCACTTGTGATTTCTTACCCATCTCCCAAGGCCAAAGGTCTACTTTCATAGCCTGACCTAATTTCTTGTGGATCTTAACACTTTTCTCCAGCTATTACTACATAACATGAGATTTGTTGATCAAAACTGTTAAATATTTCTAGGTAGCACGTTTTCCCTAGGAGAGCAATGTAGAGTTGTGTTGGCGATTTGACAGAACAAAACAAGAACAACATTGGCAATCCATCTTTCCTCACACTGCAAAGTAGCTAAAAGAGAGGTTCCAAATATTCTCCAATAAAGAAAAAACAATGTTGCCTGGTGGCCCACACCTGTAAGTCTAGCTACTTGGAGGGCTGAGATCTGAAGATTGTAGTTCAAAGTCAGCTCAGGTAGGAAAATCCATGACACTCATCTCCAATTACCAACAAGCCAGAAGTGGAGCTGTGGTTCAAGTGGTAGAAGTGGTAGTGCTAGCCTGGAGCAAAAAGGCTTAGGAACAACATCTAGACCCTGAGTTCAACCACCAAGACACAGACACACAGAGACACACACACACACACAAATGAAAGAATAATCAGGTGCAGGTGTGGTGGCATATACCTGTAATTCAAGCACTTGTTTGCTGAGGTTGGAAAAACAGTTTGAGATCAGCCTGGACTACATAGAAAGACCCTGTCTTAAGTAACCAACAGAAGTCCCCAGCACTTGTGGCTCATGCCTATAATGCTACCTACTAAGGAAGCTGAAATATGAGAATCACTATTCAAAACCATCCTGAGCAGGAAAGTCTGTTAGACTCTTCCCTTCAAAAACCAGCAGAAAGCAGCAAGTAGGTGTGTTAATTAAAGTGGTAGAGTTAGGGTTGGGAAGGTGGCTCAGTGGTAGAGCGCTAGCCTTGAGCTGAAGAGCTGAGGGACAGCGCCCAGGCCCACGACTGGACCCCCCAAAAAAACAAAATAAAACAAAACAAAACAATAAAGTAGTAGAGTGTGAGCTTTGAGCAAAAATGACAAGAAAGAATAGAAGTTTGGTACTGACATGTATGCATACACATGCATGTGCTACCATGAGTGTGTGCATGTACATACATCAAAAGAAATGTTAATACTTGAGGTGATTAATAAGCCTATTATTCCATAATGATCAAAGACTGATCATTATGTAATACCATAATGATAGGAAAACATCACATTGTACCCATAAATACATACAATTACTATATGTATATTAAAACTATGAAATACAGTTGGGCTACATAAACTAATATAAAATGTGTATTTCTATCTAAAAACCCAAAGGCAACCATCATCTTTTACCTTTATCCTAATGTACTACACCGTATTCTCTTTACTTTCTCCAACTACATAAGAAGTCACCACATTATAAACAGAAGTCCAATCTTTATATACTGAACTAAATTTTATTTAAGGTAAAGCTTTATACATCCTTTTATAAAACGAAAATTCAAGTCTTAGAATTAAACAAGTCTTCAATATCATAAAGCTATTTATAATAGGAGTTTAAAAGTAGTGGTTAACATTTTACTCTTGTAAAAATGTCACAAGAATTCAAAATCATAATAACTTGGATCGTCAATGATTCAAGTGTTTTGTTTTGCCTTACAGAGGGGCTTGGACAGCTTTGAGACAGAATTCCTCCAGACATGCTGCCCGTAAGTCCTCCATTTGTCCGTGTAGCAGCTCATACTATGGGGTAGCTAGCTGCAGTTGCAAGTCCACAGTGGTTGTCTCTGTCCCTGGCTATTTTGACGAAGCCTTCTGCACCCCACTGAGTACCCCAGCTGAAATGTTTTCCATTTTCCATCACACATAGAAAACAAACAAAAACCAAGAAAAGATTAGCTTAATTAGTAACAGCACTTACACTTATATGTATCCTTACATTTACATATAAAAGACACTACCCTAATGCTAGCACAACTATATAAACACCTATATAAATTATATTCCCTCTGGGTCATTCGCTTTCAAGATAGGAAATTGAAAAGGCAGTGCTGGTACCTAATTACTCAGAAGGCTGCGATTTGAGGATCATGTTCCAAGCCAGCCAGGCAATAAAGTCCCTGAGACTCTTATCTCCAATAAACCACCAGAAAACCAGAAGTGGTTCTGTGGCTTAAGTGGTAGAGTGCCAGTCCTAGCAAAAAATCCCAAAGTTCAAAGGCAGTGCCCAGGCCCTACGACCCAAAATAAATTGATAAATCAGTTCTCAAACCGTCAGGTCCCATGCCCTTTGTTTTAAAATCCTTAGGGCCAAATGTGTTTCAGAATTAAGGAAACTGACTTTAGACATACAATATTACAGCTATGTACAGGGTTGTATATAATTTCTTGCTCATACATTAATTATCTCTGTGCTCACTCTTAAGAAGAGAAAGCCTCATGAGATAAAACTTGAACTTTTGTGAACTTGTCAATAATGCTCATTTCCAGGCAGAGACCCTCTTTTCAACATGAAATATTTAGAATTTTATACCTGTTCTTCACAAGCCAATATTTATCATCTGGGCCATTTCCATCAGTACCGTAGCCAACAATCAGAATGCCGTGATCCAGGTCCTTGCTGCTACAATTTGGTTCATAATAAATGCCTGGAAAAGTAAGATAAATACCAGAGTGAGACAACCCATTTTACATGGACAGTGATCTATCTCCCTATTGTCACCTACAGGGAGTGCCAAGTCTGTATTTAGTGACATTTAAACAGATTCCAAACATTCAAAAGATCTTAAATACTTTTCCCCTTCCCACCCCAAAAATAGTAATTAGGACAGCACCCAGGCCCAGAGTTCAAGCCCCACAACTGACCAAAAAACAAAACTAATTATGGCAAAGTTGGGCACTGGTGGCTCATCCCTGTAATCCTAGCTACTCAGGAGGCAAAGTTCAAAGATCACAATTCCAAGTGAGCCCAGGCAGGAAAGTTCATGAGACTTTTTTTGGTCAGTCATTGGGTCTGAACTCAGGGTATGGGCACTGTCTCTGAGCTCTTTTGCTCAAGGCTAGTGCTCTACCACTTTGAGCAACAGGGCCACTTCCGGTTTTATGGTGGCTAATTGGAGACAAGACTCTCACTATGTAAGACAACTTACCTGATTCATAGAACTGGAAGGATGTATGGCTTGCATCCATAGCTGCAGAAATGGGCCCCACAGAGGCCACTGCCTTCAGCAGGGACTTCTCCCTCGGAGGGATGTCCACAAATCCAGTGTCATTTGCCACAGCATATTCAGGATTGTACTTACACTTACCATCCTTTCAAAGTAAAAGAATAAAAGATTTAATGACTATCTTTTACCGCTTAGGAAGTGTTCCAGAATCAAAACACTCAGTAAATTAGTTTACCATTAGTTGATTTGAAACTTAAAGAGACTCTTATCTCCAATTAACTAACAAAAAGCTAAAAGTGGACTTGTGGGTCAAATGACAAGTCAATATTGAGCAAGAGTATAAGGTCCTGTGTTCAAGCCCCCGGACTTGCATATGAGTGCACACACACACACACACACACACACACACACACACACACACACACACACACACACACACACACAATTATTTTGTTAGTCATGGGGCTTGAGCTCAGGGCCTGGATACTGTCCCTGAGCTCTTTTGCTCAAGGCTAGTACCACTTTGTTCTGTAGCTCCACTTCCAGTTTTTTGAGTGATTAATTGGAGATAAGAGTTTCCAAGGACTTTTCTGCCCTGACTGACTTTAAGCCACAATCCTTAGATCTCAGCCTCTGAGTAGTGAGTATTAAAGTAGCTGTATTACAGGCATGAGAGATTAGTGCCTGGCCAAAAAGGATTTTCTTTTTTGGTCAGTTGTGGGACTTGAACTCTGGGCTTGGGCACTGTCCCTATGCTCTTCAGCTCAAGGCAAGCACTCCACTGCTTGAGCCACAGCGCCACTTCCGGTTTTCTAGTGATTTATTGGAGATAAGAGTCTCATACACTTTTTTGCCCAAGCTGGCTTTGAACCTCGATCCTCAGATCTCAGCCTCCTGAGTAACTAGGATTACAGGTGTGAGCCACCAGTGCTAGGCTAGGAATTATTTTTACAGTGCAGAAATTCCTATTATCTGTAGGGTGGTTTGGATATTCTGTTACAAAGAAGCTTAAACAGCTATATGTGAACTATCAAATCAGAGAAGACAAAAAAAATTGTGTGTGTGTGTGGTACTGGACCTTAAACTCAGGGCTTGGGCTCTGTGCCTTAGCTTCTTCACTTAGCTCCACTTCTGGCTTTTTACTGGTTAACTGGAGATAAGAGTCTGGAGGACTCTCCAGTCAGAACTGACTTCAAACTGAGATCCTCAGATCTCAGCCTCCAGGGTTACCAAGGATTATAGGTGTGAGCCATCAGCACAAGCCCAGCAAGAGTACTAAAAAGTTTGGTGATTCAATTCTACCATCTAGAATTGTGGCTTCTGGAAATGATGTTATCTCTGATTGTTTCATTCCACTCAGAGCTCAGACAATAGCAAACTAAAGCACTTCCATTTTACCTGGCCTTCATATGGATAGGATTTCTCAGAGTCCAAGCCTTTATTTTCCTTGACATACTGGAAGGCAAAGTCCATTAAGCCACCATTGCAGCCCTGATTGCCTTGAGGATGAGAGCAGTCCACTAGGTTCTGCTCACTGAGGGAAATCAGTTTGCCAGTCTTCTTGAACATCTGCCCTTCCAGGGCTCCAGTCGCACTGAAAGCCCAACAAGAACCACATTGACCCTGAAAAAGGAAATTTAAAAAGCTGAAAGTTTCTAGACAAAGATCAACAACAGTTTACATATCACCTTATTTTTATATATTTACTTTTTGTGTGTGCTAGTCCTTGGGCTTGAACTCAGTTTTTGTGTTTTTTTTTTTTTTTGGTTGGTTGTGGGACTTGAAATTTGGGCCTGTGCTCTGTCCCTGAGCTCTACAGCTCAGTTTTCTGGTGGTTAACTGGAGATGAGAGTCTTGCAGACTTTCCTGCCTAGGTTGGCTTTGAACCGTGATCCTCAGATCTCAGCCTCCCAAGTAGCTTAGATTACAGGAGTGAACCACTGGCACCTGGCTTCACTTCTGGCTTTTTCTGAGCACTTTATTGGAGATTAAAAATCTCACAGAATTTCCTGCTAGGGCTAGCTTTGAACTACAATACCCAGATCACAACAGATCAGTGTCCTGAATAGCTAGGATTACAGCTGTTACATTTTCAAGTAGTTAACAGTAGCATGTGGGTGAGCAATCATAACCACAATGTTGTTTTTGTTTTTTTAATTAAAAGGCTGGATATATCGGCTTGTACTTGTTAATCTCAGCTACTGAGAAGGCAGAGATAAGGTGATCTCAAATTTGAGGCCAGCCTGGATAAAAAGTTAGTGAGACCAATATCTCAAAGAACAAGCCAGAAGCCAGGGCCAGGAGCTGGTGGATCACACTTGTAATCCCTAGCTACTCAGATCTGAGGATCATGGTTCAAAGCCAGGTGAGAAAGTTTGTGTGACTCTTATCTCTAACCAACAAAAAAGCTAGAAATGGAGCTGTGGCTTAAAGTGGTAGAGCACTAGCCTTGAGCAAAAGAGCTCCAGGAAGCCGGGTGCTGGTGGCTCATGCCTATAATCCTAGCTACTCAGGAGGCTGAGATCTGAGGATCGTGGTTAAAGCCAGCCTGGGCAGGAAAGTCTGTGAGACTCTTATCTCCAATAAACCACCCGAAAACTGGAAGTGGCCCTGTGGTTCAAGCGGTATAGAGTTCAAGCCCATGACCAACAAAAAAAAAAAAAAAGAGCTCAGGGAGAGTACCCAGGCCCTAAGTTCAAGCTCCACACTGACATTTAAAAAAACAACAATCCAGGTCTAGTGGTATGTATCTGTAATCTCAACTACTAACAGTAGAATTACATTTTAAAGCTGATCCTGGAAAAAGGCATAGACTCTATCTGAAAACAACAACTAAAGCTACAAGAGCTGGTTCAAGTAGTAAAGTACTTGCTCAGAAATCACACAAAGTCCTGAGTTCAAATCCCAACACTATTTCCTGTCTGAAATAGCAAATTTTATGTAGCTCCACAATACTCCAAAGCAACTATGCCAGTTTACTCAGATTTTCCTGGCAGCGCAGAGTGTGTACCTGACACTTTTCATACCTGATTCTTCACAGGGGTCACATAGCCTTTTTCTGTCCAATTCACAGATGCAGGGGGCTTAAAAAATAGAAGTTCCTGAAACATTTTCCCCTTCTTGTGCTTTGAACTCTGAAAGCCATTCATCACCTGTCTGAATTCTTCATTGGTCTTCAAAAGAAACAAATAAGATGAAAAGGCAAGAGGAATCATTTTGTGAAGAAGTGAAGACAAGCAGCCTGGAGTTAAGCAATGCATGTGTGACACTCACCATGTCCCCAAAGGCATTCATTTTCATGGTGAAGCCATGTCTGCCTAGGCTGTATTCCCCATTATGCATTTCAATCATTTTCATGTTCTTTTCCCAGACTGCTCTCCTCCATCCTTCTTCATTCTAGAAGCAAAATGTTAATTTTTACTTAAAACCTGTGTTCACCATGAGGCTTTTTAAGGCAAAGATAAAATCCATGGCCAAGGATGGCATTACATCTCTGGAAGGTGGTTCTCTTAGATCCAAAGAGAGCAGGGATGTTTTCCATATCGTGCTCACCAATGGGTGTAGTAAGATTACTGACTGGGTAGGTAAGAGCAGGCTACTCCCAGCCCATGAACTCTAAGAGCCATTCCTGCCAGGTAATTTCAAAGATACCAACCGAGCCATATAGTCTCCTGTGCATTGACTTCCACTGGTACCACTTTGTGTCTAAGTTCTGGTCATGTTTTGGAGTAGCTGAGGCTATTCCCAAGCAAAAGGCAGCGAGGAAGAGTGAAAGATTCATGGTTCAAAAACCTAGGAAAAGAAAAGAAATAAGTATGCATGTGCTATTTACTGGGGCTTGAACTCAGGGCCAGAGATCTGTCCCTTAGGCTTTTCTACTTGACTATCTGATGAAATCAATTTTGGGGGGGGGCAAGGGGGAGTTGTTACTGGAGCTTGAACTGGGTGTGTATGCTGTCCTTTAGCTTTTTCCTTTCAAGATTGGTGCTCTATCACTTTAGTGGACAACTCTGCTTCCAGCTTTTTAGTAAACTGGAGATAAGAGCCTGAGCTGGTTTCCAGCCTCAGTCTTCAGACCTCAGCATCCTGAGTAGCTAGGATTACAGGCGTGAGCCACCAGAGCCCGGCAAAAATTAAAGCTACCATAACGGAGTAGAAACATCTTAGTTATCTTCTTAATTATTAACATAAAGATGGGGAAAAGGAGAGGGGGAGGGAGGACCAAAAGAGGGCAAGGGACTAAATATTTGATTAAGCTACTGAAATGGCAAGCAGCCTGACAAATGCTATATGGAATCGAAGTAAAATAAATGGTCAAAATGTCACTTCCGAGTGGTGCAATAATCTGGGCTTGCAAGGTCCCACAACAGTACCTTAATGGTACCTTTAGGCAACAACTTGGCAACAAGGAAGTGGTTCATCCAGGTTATTTACCTGGCAGTACTGAGGTCTCCCAGGAGGAGTCTTACTATGAGAACATCTGGAATCAAGTAAGGAAAGAGGGATCCCCAAGAATTAGTAGGCTATTGCATACTTGAGATGTATTGCAATCTGCCTTGGAACTGAAATCTCTCAGAAGTGCCTTCCCAGGGGATCGGGGCTGGGAGTGGGGGGGGGTCCCGGCAGAGCACCCCTTCCCCACAAGGGGCACCCCGGGGTGGGGAGGGGGGCAATACTGCTCCGCCCAAGCACAGCCCAACCACTCGCAAGGAGATGATGGCGGCGCAGGGAGCGCTGGGCATCGGGACTCGGCTGCGCGGACCCGGCTCCCCCTGCCTGGCTCTTCCAGGCCCGGACACTGCGCGGCCTAGGGCGGGGGGCGGCCCCGAGGCCGGCAGACCGCAGGTACCCCACGCTCTCCGCCCCCCGGCCCGCCTCACACCCCGATCCCCAAGGCCCTCCGGAGTTTTCCCACCGCCCTCCCACCGCTCCCGGACCTGAACGCCGGCAGAGCTCCGGACGGATGCCCAGGTTCCCACGAGCGGCGCCCGCCTCATCCCCCGTGCCCCGGCAGGGGTTGCGTCCCCAGCCCCGACCCCACCTCAAGTCCCAGCTCACCCCGCGCCGCCACGGCGCGGCAGGAGGGGCGCGCTCACCTGGTGCGGCGGCCGCTGCGCAGGCGCACTCCGCAGGCGCAGCTTCTATCTCAGGTCGCCCGGGGTCCAAGAATCTGGCCCAGCTGCGCCTGACTCAAGCTTTAAAGCCCCACGTCGGGCGCTTGCCTGACCACGCCCCCGACACCTCCCCGCTTGACGATTGGTTCCTCCCCGAGCGGGGCGGGGCCTGCGCGCTTTCTGACTCCCAGCACGTGATGCCGCGGGGTCTGGACTCGTCCGTGGGTGGGGCGAGCGGATCCGAGTGGATTCGCGGTCCCTTCCGGGCAGAGCGGGGAGTGGTAGGATTCCTTTGTTGGAGGGCTGGGGGTCCGAAGAACTACTCGGACTGGAAGCGCTGGGCTGGCGGTGTGTGGGGCGAGGGGTGGGGGAAGAAGAAAGAAGAGCGTGCAGCAGCAAGCTCGGTGTGAGTTTTCAGGGGATCCCTGAGCGTGGATTGGAAATGTCCTCTAAGATGGAGAGCCGGTGTAATCTAGTGGTTGCTGTTTGATCCACAGCACAGGTGGAGCCGGGAAGGGTAGCTCTCATTTCAGGTTAATTCCCCCAAGATACTGACCCAGGGGAAAAGAATCGCATTTTGCGGTGCGTCCTGGCCTGGATCCGCTTAGCAAAAGGGCTCACCCCATTCTCCAGTCCAAAATCATTCGCAGAAAATGCGGTTACTGAGCGCAAGAGCCTCACAGCAACAAGCCTAGCTACTCAGGAGGCTGAGATCTGAGGATCGCCGTGCAAAGCCAGCCCGGGAAGGAAAGTCTGTGAGACTGTTATCCCCAATTAACCAGTGAAAAGCTGGAAGTGTGGCTGTGGTTCAAATGATAGAGCTCCAGCCTATCATTTGAACCCTGACCCTGGGTTCAAGCCCCAACACTGGCACAAAACAGAAAGATAGAGACAGTAGAGACTGATGGAGACTATTATCAACTCTGCATTACAAATGATGTCTTCTTCACCTTGCAAATGCTTCTCGTGGAATTCAGTACATTTACTTTAGTAATAGTTAATTTCAGGGTTGAGGTTGTATAGTTGGAGAAAAACTTTTACAGGAAAACCTATCGGTAAGGATTTCAAGAAATGAATTCAGAAACATTTCTAAATTTTCAACCATTTCACTAAAGGAAATATATTTTAGAAAACAGGACTGGAGTTTACTTCATGGGGTAGGACATTTGACGCCCTGAATTCAAGTCTCAGTACATCACCCTCCAAAAATTAAAAAGACAGGGGCTGGGAAGGTGGCTCAGTGGTAGAGTGCTTGCCTTGCATGCATGAGACCCTCGGTTCGATTCTTCAGCACCACATAAGCAAAAAGAAAAAAGCCGGAAGTGGCGCTGTGGCTCAAGTGGTAGAGCACTAGCCTTGAGCTGAAGAGCTGAGGGACAGTGCCCAGGCCCAGAGTTCAGGCCCCACTTCCGGACCCCCCCCAAAAAAAAGACAAAATGTATTTTAGGAAATAAACATTCTTTGACCTTCCCTATAATTCTGTTCTCATCTTTCTTTAACTACAAAAATATTACAGTGCATATCAATTTATAAACTTTTACAGAAAAATTGAGGTGTGTGTGAGTGTGTGTGTGTACAGGGTCCGGGTCTTGAACTTAGGGCCTCTTACTTTCTGCCCACAGCTAGCTCTCCATCACAACTGTGTCTCTAATTGGAGTTTTGGGTTTAAATAGCAATCAATGTCTCCCTTAGATTGGCTTCTAACTGCAATCCACAGATCTCTGCCTCCTGAGTAGCTACAGTTAGAGGTGTGATCCATGAGTACCAGACAATAATTATTGTCAATTCAAGGCAAAAAACCAAAAGGCCATTTTACTTTTTCCCTTTGAGAGGGTCTTACTATGCAGTCTAGGCTGCCCCGGCCTTCTCACTGCTGGGATTACAAGTATGTACCAGCATACTTATCTCAAATATTTTATTTGAGCTGTAGATCACACCTGTAATCCTCGGGACCCTGAAGGCTGAGATCTAAGGATCACAGTTCAAAGCCAGCCTAGGCAGAAAAGTCTGTGAGACTGTCATCTTCAGTTAACTAACAAAAAGCCACAAAGATCTGTGGCTTAAGTGGTACAGCACCATCCTTAAGTGAAAAAGCCTAGGGACAGTGCTCAGGCCCCAAGTTTAAGGTCTAGTTCTGGCACACACACACGTGCACATGCATGCACAGGTACGCATGTGTGCACACAGACAGACAGACCAAGGTTTATTTATGTCCTATGAAGAAGGAGTCTTTCCCTCCCAATTACAACTAGGTTAGGATGCTCTCAGGTGCTTACAAAACTATACTGTAAGTGGTTGGAGTCTTGCTTTTTTCCTTTGTCTAAATTTATTCAACATAGTCATCGTTCACACATGGGAATAAGCGAAAACCACCATATGAGAACAAAAAAGCTACATATTTAGAACTTGATATAACAACGATATACGACAGGAAAACCTGTAGTTTTGGGGGGAAAAAAAGGGAGACTGCATGTGCCAAGTTTGGAGACTTACCATAAGAAGGCTGAAAAAATTAGATTTTTAAAAAACATACGCTGGTATGGGGGCTTGAACTCAGGAGCCTGCACAATGTCCCTTAGCTTTCTGTGTCTTACTCAAGGATGGTGCTCTACCAGTTTAGCTCCCATTTCTACGTTCTGCTCTTTTGGGGGGGAGGGGTGTGAGGGTGATTAATTGAAGATAAGTGTGTCTTGGACTTTCATGCCCAGACTGACTTTGAACCTCAATCTTCAGAGCTTAGTCTTTTGAGTAGCTAGGATTACAGGCATAAGCTACTGATACCCATCCAGTTCTGGCTTTTTGTTGGTTAATTAGAAATAAGAGTTTCAAGGATTTGTCTGCCTGGCAGGGCTTCAAACCATGACCCTCAGATCTCAGCCTGCTAAAGTAGTTAGTATTACAGGAGTGAGCCACTTGGGTCCACCCTAGAGGAGTAATTCTTAGGAATTAACTTAAATGTGCTTAATTTGGGCACCAAATTTGATTGGAAGAATTAACTATTAGAAATGGATCATGTTATACAGTTGCTTTGGTTTGCCCAGAGTGGAGAGGTAGAGGGAAAAATAAAGACATTGTCATCATTGAGCAAGTCCTGAAGAATCTGAGCTGTTCACTATGAGGATTATGCGCTGTTTTTTTCCCCTGGTGGGCCAGAGATAGATTGCTGTATAGTTGAGCTATTGTATGTTTGTTTATACAATGTATCACAAGCAATCTTAGTTATTCTAACACGTGGGTTTTAGAGTTGCCCTTGGGCCACAGCTCCCTATGATTGTACCGGGTGGAAAAACCTGTCACTGCATCAAAATCTGAGCCTTGAGCAAGAGCTTGGCAGCAGGCTGTGTGCCAATTGCTGCTCCAAAGAAGGGCATCCCCTTTTTGCTTATGTGTATATCAATCCTGGGTGCTATCCCTTAGCTTTTTTTTGTTTTGTTTTGTTTTCTTAGAGCTATCACTTCCATTTGAGCCACAGCTCCACTTCCTGAGTTTTGTTAGTTAATTGGAGCTAAGAGTCTCACAGACTTTCCTGTCTGGACTAGCTTTGAACTTCAGTCCTCAAATCAGCCTCATATGTTGGTAGAATTACAAGAGTGAGCCAGTGGTACCAGCTCTTTGATTCTTGAAATATGATTTGAATGCATTGGCAAAAACTTGCACTCCCGTTACAAATCCAAAGTATAAAATTAAACCAAGAAATACCTACATGTACACAAATATTGGAGATGCTCACCTAACATAATATCTAATGACATTTGTGTATACAAAAAAGTATTACTATATTACTAGTCATTTTGTTTCTCTTGTATCTTTTCAGTTTTTACTTTGTTGTGAAATAATTTCATTAGATGCTAATTATTCAAATGGTCACAGGGAACAATTGGCTCCCTTCCAAGTGACATTGTCCAAGATGCATTGTAATCAAACTGACTTTTTGAATTGAAACCCCTTTGTACAGCTACTTAAAGATAACAACAACAACAACAATAATAATAAAAAGCTTATACTCAACGCCAGTGGCTCAGGCCTATAATCTTAGCTATTCAGGAGGCTGATAGTTGAGGTTCTTGCTTTGAAGCTAGCCCAAGGAGGGAAGTCTAGGAGATTTTTGTAGTTGTTGTTGGTCATGGGACTTGAACTTGGGCCTGAGCACTGCCCTTCAACTCTTCAGCTCAAGGTGAGCACTCTTCCACTTGGGCCACAGCACCACTTCCAATCTATGAGCTTTTCTTTGCGGGGGGGGGGACAGGGGGGGAGTTCGGTTATGGGGCCTGAACTCTGGGCCTGGGTGCTGCCCCTCAGCTCTTCAGCTCAAGGCTAGTGCTCTACCACTTGAGCCACAGTGCCATTTCCGGCTTTTTTCTTTTTGCTTAGGTGATGCTGAGGAATCAGACCCAGGGCCTCATGCATGCAAGGCAAGTGGCTCTACCATGAAGCCACCTTCCCAGCCCCAATCTACGAGCTTTTTATTTCTAATTAACCACTGAAAAAATTGGAAGTAGAGATATAGCTTAAATGATAAAGTGCTAACCTAGAGCAAAAATGTTCAGGGACAACATGTAGGTCCTGAGTTCAATTCTCAGAACTGGCACAAAAAGAAAAAAATATTTTACAAAATAAGTTACATTGTAGGAGCTAGGAGGTGGATCAGTTAGTAGAGTGCTTGCCTCCCATACATGAGGCCCTGGGTTCGATTCCTCAGCACCACATAAACAGAAAAAGCCAGAAGTGGTACTGTGGCTCAAGTGGTAGAGCACTAGCCTTGAGCTGAAGAGCTGAGGGACAGCAGCCAGGCCCAGAGTTCAAGCCCCACGATCAACAAAAACAACAACAAAAATAGTTACATTGTAGTTGTGACCAATTTTTACCTCCACTTTTGATAAGATGCAGGTGGCAGAAAGTCTTGATTCCTATTTAAAACACCATATCTGTGATAAAATACTCTTATGTATAAGTCTCATGTAAACTTACTTAAGTGAGTCTCATGTAGACTTACTTTGCTCACAAGTAAAGCAAGCTATGATGAAAGAAGGAAAGAGAAAAAAGAAGGGATTACTTTTTAAGAACATTGATCAAACT